ATGGGAGAAGCATGCTGAAAGTAGACTATGGACCAAACATGATTGTCACTTATTGCCTCTTTTGCAAACCACAACACCCAATAAGAGAGAGAGAACAAAAGGGAATGCCCTGCCACAGAGGCAGGGTGGGGTGGGGGGATGGAAGGTGGGAGGGATACTGGGATCCGTGTTGATGGGAAATGGGCACTGGTGGAGATTTGGGTATTTGATCATTGTATAATTGAAACCCAAGCACAAAAATTTGTAAGTCTGCAACTGTACCTCAGGATGTCTCATTAATAAAAAATTTTAAAAAAGAGCAGGTAGATAATAAAAGAAAAATAAATAAAGTTTGGTTATTGTAGCTTGAAAAAGAAAGAATCCTGGTTACCTCTTTAGCATACAATGTAACTCAGAAAAAAATTTGTTTAACCTCTCTTTCCTATTCATTTTTTAAGATGATGATATAAATTTTAAAAAGTTAAAATGTTGAGCACTTACTTCTGCAATTACTACAATTTGTGAGATAAAGACTGTGTTATAGGCATAATCTCATTTAATTATCAAGTCAACTTTGTAAGAGAAAAAATATTATCCTCCATTCATAGATGAGGAAGCTGAGTCAAGGAGAAGTGGAGTAATGTGTTTAAGGTCATATTCCTAGGATTTATGTTCTCACTACTGTTCTAAGTTATCTATTATGTAGACTTTAATAGAATTACCAAAGCAATAATAGAATGGAGACAAATAATATGATTTAAATAATACTATTAACTAATACATATCAGATAAATAATAACAATGCTTAACTTGATTATATCTTCTTCAGTTTTCCAGGTCAATTGTTGACAATAAACCTCTAATAATAAGGTCACAAATATTTATTGAGCACCTACATTGTGACAGGCATTTTGCTAATCATTTTTGGTGGGAAAGAAATAGGAGTGGTCTTTGCCCTGACATGCTACAAAGGACAGGAAAGTGGAGAGAATTAAAGTTCTTTGAGGAGTGGAAGGCCATCTTAATTAATCATTAAGTGGGGATCAAGACGCTTCCTATACAATGTACCTATTTGATGACCAGGAATGCAGCTGACACATATCCAAAGCAGAACTCAAAGATTTAATTCATTACCCTAAGCATTTTCATTATGTCTTTCTCTAAGGTTAAAAATCATCTTTTAGCAGATTTTCCAAATGCCTATTTTCCAATCTCAATTCTACATGGATATAAGTAAGCTTCTCCTGGAGTTTTGCATTTCTAACTTTAATTCTAGACTCTTTCAATCAAAGCATTTCTGTCTCTGCTAAGCAGTCCTATTTTGAGGTCTATCTTTATATCCAGGATTCCAGCCTGTGATTTTAAAACACCCCAAACCAGGGGCCAGAGTGATAGCACAGAAGGTAAGTTGATTGCCTTGCATGTAGCTAACTTGGATTCTATTCCTGGTGCTCCAGAAGGTCCCTTGACCCCATCAGGAGTGATTGTGAGCACAGAGGCAGGAATAAACCCTCAGCATAGCCAGGCATGTACCCCCCCCAAACACCATCCCCTAAAAGAAGCAGAAATTTTAAAATAACCCAAATCAAAAATCTCTCCAAGACCCCGTTATTCTAGCTAGTCATCACTCATGTAAAATTAACACTGGAAAATGGGCATTTGGTAAAATAGAAATTTTCCCAGCAGCTTCTCTTTCATGCCAGATAGACTCCAAAGGCTAATTCTGTACTCCGGCAGGCCAGCCATCAAACTGCTTATCGACCCGTCTTCCCTTGGTAAATGTGTCACAGGTTCTGCAGTCCACAAGGGATTCTATCACATGAGGGTCTGTTACCCAGAGATCAAGGAATGTAGCAGCTGCTTCTTTGCAAATACAGAATGTGATGAACACATGGTGCAGAAAGATGTTTTTTTAAGCTGATATTTTCTCATTTACATTTGATTATCCAGTATCCCTTTTCCTTTTTTTTTTTCAAGTTTGCATAGTAAATAGTCTCTCCCCAACAAAACAACAACAGCAAATATCTCCACTGGAACAGAAACGGCTGGAATGTCGCTATAAATGTCCAACAGTCAAGGCACAATGGCTCAAAAAGCAGTTTCGAGCTTTCTATGATGACAGTGATAGCAATGCTGAATCCTAACAACAGCAAACTGAGCAGTATAATGGTTTGGTTTGGTTTTTTAATTATTTAAGCACCATGATTTACAAGGCTGTCAATGATAGAGTTTCAGGCGGACGATGTTCCAACACCAAACCACCAGTGTTAATGTCCCACCGTCTTCCAGGTCCCCTCCCACCCCCCAGCCTGCCTCCTTCAAAGCACATTTTGAAGTGTGATTGTGTCTCATGCATACAGTCCTGTTGGCTTTGGCAGTTTGGACATCTACAGATGTAAATCTCGGGGGCAGCAGTGGGGGCTGTGTTTGGCTTGATTGCGGCCCACTTAGATTCATTCCTGCCATGCCATATGGTCTCCCAAACTCGCCGGGAGTGATCCCTGGGTGCCGAGCCCAGAGTAAGCCTGAGCATGACCAGGTGTGGTCCCAAAACAACAAATTATATTTTATGTCTGTGTGGTGCTAGTCTGGGTGCATATATGTATTGCCTTCTTTAAAATTCACAAAAACCTCTTGACATAGAAGCCACTATCTCCATTTTATAGAAGAGATGTTAAGGGTGAAGAGCTTTTTACTTGCCAAAACTTCCTGATCCCCCCTCCCCTCCATTTATACAGAGAAGAGGAAGGAAAAGGGCAAAAGACAGGGGTAGAGTGGCCAGAGAGAAGGGGGATGAAGAGGAACTGAAAGGTCCTCTGTCATTAGAAATTCATTCAACGAGTGTCTAGGGGCGGGCCATAATGGTTCCTATAAGACAAGTTCCCTTCCCTTGAGAGCCATGTGTGTAAGTGACTGTAAGTGACTGTTATCCTTATCCCCAGAAGGGGCAACAATCAATTCATGTCCAAGTGGGGAGAGCACAGAGAGAGGGAGGTACCCAGCCTGGGGGATCCCACTGACCTCTCAGGTGCAGCCTCCTGTGAGGAAAGAGAATGAGGGTTCCCAGCTGGTTAGGAGATGAAAGATTAGAGCAGGTACACGTCCAAGCAGGAATCATCTCTGTAAGTGTGGCCAGTACAAACGCCCAGTGTCTCGGGGGACTGGTGGAGATGATAGGAATAAGGACAAGTGACAGCTTTGGCCGCATATTAGACCTGGGGCTAAGGACAGGCTTCAAGGTGTGTGGAAGGGTCACTGTCACTGCCCTCCCATTGTTCATCGATTTACTCGAGCGGGCCCAGTAACGTCTCCATTGTGAGACTTGTTACTGTGTTTGGCATATTGAATATGTCACAGGTAGCTTTCTGGGCTTTGCTGTGTGGGCGAGATACTCTGGGTAACTTGCCAGGCTCTCCAAGAGGGGCAGAGGAATCGAACCTTGGTTGGTCAGGTCGGCCACGTGCAAGGCAAACGCCCTACTGCTGTGCTATCACTCCAGCCTTGTGGAAGTGAAATACCAGGATATCCAGGAATAGGAAATATGGGACTGCACAGGACTACTTGGGACAGTCAGAGCAAGTAGCCACTCTATACCACGTGATGTATGAAGGCATCATAAAGTCCATTAAATCATTCTGGGTTTTTTATTTTGAAGTCTTTTTATATAGGACATGTTTTAATGCCTAGAAGAGTGATAAATGTCAAGATAATAAAGACCTTCCATACTTGATCCAAGAAATGGGCAGTATGACCTGAGAGAACTAGGGGTTTGTATACAGAGGAAGAAAACACGCATTAATGAGCTAGCAATAAGGAGGGAGATGCGAGGCTGGTGGCATGGAAATATATGGGCTATTCACACTGCACCGTGACTGTCGGGCAGAAGGCTGATGGTGAGAGAAAGGGTGATCGCATCATTATGGCTGTCTTAACATTAAATCAAGTCATTCAGAGGGGAAAAGTGCCACTGACTTGATAAGCTTCCAATCACTCTGACATAGTTTGAGAAAGCATTTTGATGGATATACAAAGTTAAATAGTAGAAGGATCTAGGACACTTTTATTTCTCCGTGGATTAACATCTTTTCTCTTGAGTTAAAATGCTGATAGCACCAGTTAAGCTTTTCTTGATTCGGCTGTGTAGCGGCTAACTAGGCTGTAATGTGCGTCTTTAAACGGCCTGCTTTGGATTCTGTCTGTAATCTCCCCTAGATAAGAAATCGTATTTTAAACAAAGAAAAGGACTTCTGGTAAACTAAATTTGCCAGGAAACTCTTTGTCAACAATAAATGTCTATTGTGTCCTTCTACTATCACAGCAACATAAACTCAATAAGCTCTGATTTGGTACCCATAGAACAAAATTTATTTTGGAGTCAAAGGGTCAAAGATTATTGATTATGACAGCGTAGAGATGCATCATTTATATGGTAGTTGGTTTACACATTTTTTTCTTGTTAGTTTCTCTTTTCTCCCTTTCTGTAGATTATTAGTCTCGGTACATTATTATTTCAAGGTCAAGACTCAAGGAGTAAAACTAAATCTGGTAATGGATACAGAAAAAGGTCTTAGAGTGCAGAAGCCAGCCCCAATGATTCTACTACATTTAGTTTGAATACTCATGCAGACTAGCTGCAGATCTGTTCCTATTGTTTAATTTCAGCATTATATCTTGTTAAATCTAAAGCATAATGCATGCAAGGCACTTGTTCGATACCTTGTATACAGTAAATATTCAAAACTAGAAGATATTAGTACTTTAAAATCAAAGCAGCAATAGGAAACTCAGAACCTAAATAAGATGGTTCTTTCTTTCTAAGGCATAAATTCCCCCTTCCCATCAAATATAAATAGTTCTTTCAACTTCTCGTGAATATTTGATGCTATGAACTTGCCTAAATCTCTTGGTGGAAAAAGTTAACATTTTATGTGTCAATTTCTCCACTCTGCCTTATTATTCATTAAAAACTGATTTAAAAGGTAAAATATTAATGAACAAAAGCTATATATTTTTCTTCTTACCATTTTTGTCTGCTCGCCTCAGTATCTGAAAAGGAAAAATAAAAAAATTAATCATGATTTTTTAAAAGATATTGTAGTAAACATTCCACTTTCAGATTACTTACCCATTTTCAAATAAGAGAAAATCCAACTTTAAATAAGTATCAATCTACCAAATAAGATATTACCATAATAGTCAAAAACTGAAACTCACCCAAATGCCCATTAATAAATCAAGTAAGTAAAGGCCCTTCCGTTGATCATCGATTTGCTCAAGTGGGCCCAGTAACGTCTCCATTGGAGACTTTGTTGTTACTGTGTTTGGCATATCGAATATATCACGGGGAGCTTGCCAGGCTCTGCCGTGTGGGCGAGATACTCTCGGTAGCTTGCCGGGCTCTCCGAGAGGAGCGGAGGAATCGAACTTGGGTTGGCCATGTTGGCTGCGTGCAAGGCAAACGCCCTACCGCTGTGCTATCGCTCCGGCCTTTTTAATAAATCAATATACAAACAAATTTTGATATATCCACACAGTGGAGCAGAGCTGAACAATGAAAAAGAATAGCTCCGGGTGCAAATAATAACTTCGATAGATTGCAAAGTAGTCATGCTGAGTAAAAAAATCTAGATAAAATAATATCTACAAAATGCTTTTCACTTATGTAAATATGGGAAATTGTAATAGATCAAGAGTTGTTTAGGAATTAGCAGGCAAAGTGGTAGATTACCAGAGGACATGAAGACACTTTATCCATGTTAGATTTATAGTCAATAGTGATGATGGCTCGAGCGATAGCACAGCAGGTAGGGCATTTGCCTTGCACACGGCCGACCCAGGTTCGATTCCTCCATCCCTCTTGGAGAGCACAGCAAGCTACTGTGAGTATCCTGCCCACATGGCAGAGCCTGGCAAGCTCCCCTTGGCATATTCAATATGCCAAAAACAGTGACAACAAGTCTCATAATGGAGATGTTACTGGTGCCCACTTGAACAAATCAATGAACAGGAGGACAGTGCTACATGATGACTTTATAGATACATTTATGTAACAAATCACCAGATTAAATATGTGCAACCCAATCATATATGTGAGTTAATCATATATTAATAAAACTTAAAAAAAGTCAAAAAATCTATTGTGGATTAACAAGTATTTGTATGTAAGTATAGCACTATGATTTTGCTTCTATGCACTAACTATATTATTTAGAACCTACTCTGTTACTTGTATTGGCAGGGAAGAGGGGTTGGGGGCCATACCCAGCAGGTGTCAGGGGATATTCCTGGTTCTTTCTTTCTTTCTTTCTTTCTTTCTTTCTTTCTTTCTTTTTTATTTTTTAAAATTTTTATTAGTGAAACACAAGGAGGTACAGCTGTAGACTTACTTACAAATTTTTGTGCTTGGGTTTCAACTATACAATGATCGAGTACCCATCCCTGCATCAGTGCCCATTTTCCACCACCATGGATCCCAGTATCCCTCCCACCCCACATCCCCCCCCATCCCACCCTGCCTCTGTGGTAGGGCATTCCCTTTTGTTTTCTCTCTCCTTTTGGGTGCTGTGGTTTGCAAAAGAAGCATTGAGTGGCAATCATGTTCGGTCTATAGTCTACTTTCAGCATGCATCTCCCATCCTGGGAGGTGGTACTCTTGGTTCTTTTGCTCAGGAGTGGTGTGTGGAGGACCATATGCAAACAGAAACTCAAAACCTATCACAGATGCTCCATTCTCATGGAAGGCAAGTGTCTTACCTCCTGCACTATCTCTCCATCTAAGGCTATCAAAGTTAAGCAGAGTGAGCTTAGCCTGGTCAACAAGCTTTCATCACCCCCTGGCTACATAGTCTCTACTCAAGCAAAAGCACATAAAAAGGCATGTATTTTGTTGGCTTTGGAGCTCACACTCATCCGTGCTCAGGGCCTATTCCTGGCTCTGTGCTCAGGCTTACTCCAGGTTCTATGCTCAGGGTTCATTCCTGGCCAGTCTCGAAGACCAAACCCAGACTGGCTGCATCTTACATGCTCTGCTATCTCTCTGGCCCCCGCAGCTGGTGGTCTTCCTGGAGTTATAGAGTTACCAGTTGACTCAGAATCTGGTACAGTGAATGAGTAGCTGTTTACCTTTTTGCTATCTTATTGGGTTGAACTGTGTTGAAACCCAAAGCCCCATTAACTCTGAATGTGACTTGGTTTAGGAATAGAAATTATGTTAATATTAAACTAAGAGGAGATCTCACTGAATTGAACCTTAAATTCAAGCATTTACGATTTCTCTAAGGTGAGATTCAGAGATGTGGTAGAAGAGAGAAAGGAAGAGGTCACGTGATGACAGAGGTAGATGAAAAAGTGCTGGAGTTGCAAGCCAAGAAATGCCAGGGTCTACAACTGTACCTCATGGTGTTTAACTAATAAAAATTAAAAAACAAAGAAATTCCAGGGGCAAACAGCCTCCCCAGACGCTAGAGAGAGGCGAGGGACACATTAGCACTGCAGCTTCAGGGGAAGCATGGCTCTCCCCACATCGTAATTGTAGCCCTCTCTCTCACCTGTTGTCAAAAGAATACATTTTACTGCTTAAACCACCCTTTGTGTAGCACTTTGTTATGGCACCCTGAGGAAATTAATCCAATATCTAATAACCTGGAAATATACATCTCTGGAGAAAGCTGTGTCCAGAAACTACAGGAAGGTAGATCCTGGGGGACACTTTTTGAATCCCTATTTAGGACATCTGAAAAGATGCTTTCCGCCTTTCACTACAGGAGGGAATGAACTGTTATTTGAAATCTTTGCAAAGAGAAGCTAGATTGGTTTCTATGTTGGTAACTAAAAAATGGGTCCTTAATTATAGGGAAAATATGGTAATAAAATGCACAATGATGTCTTATATAACATCAAAGAACACGTTCCTTCACCACATTGTAAGTACAACCTTTAAACGGGGTAAAAGGGACACTTGAGGATCTTTTACCTAAACTATGTGGAATTATGAATAAGTACAAGAGCTGCTCACTTTTAACTCATTACTTCTTGGTGGCCAGCATGAATCACGAAGAGCTTTCATTACCAAAGTGCTGTTTTGCTGCCTGCTACTACAGAAACACAATATTCCCTTCCTTCTGTTCACTTCATGGAGAAGAGTGATGAATTCACTACTACAGTGTGCTTTATTAAAAAAATACTACTATTATTACTAGAAATCTCACCTGTTAAAATTTTCGAACAATAGCCTTTTATTACCCTGACTGTACATGTGGCATAGGAAGTTGGCCATTTTTGGGAAATAATTCATTTAATTATTGCAGTAGGATTGTTTTCAATAGTAAGTAATGTCTGTGTTTAAAGCAGAACAAAGCACACATTTTTGGGAGGGCCACTACTCCTGGCGCTGCCCAGGGATCACTTCTGGTAGAGCCTAGGAGACCACAAGGGGTACCAGGGATTGATCCTGCATCACTGGTGAGTGAGGCAAGCCCCTTACCCAATGTACTATCTCTGCCGGCCCGAAAACACACACTTGTTACAACACAGACAATTTCTTGTAGGAATCTAGGGGAAGAACCTCTATTTATCAATTTCTCCCTCAAAAATATAAAGTCTCTGTTTTAAATCAGGGAGACCAAAACACACTATTCCTTATCTTTGACAAATGCTGATTCTGTTCCAAGTTCTGTTGTGTCCTTATGGGGTGAAAGTGTCAAGAATAGGAAAAACACAGACTGAAACCTGGACTTCACACTTCTATCATTTCTTTTCATCAAGAGCAATCTTAAATAGCATTCAGACTCTTAGTGAGGGAAGAAATTAAGACAGAAGCTTTTGCAATTAAGACAGTTCTTTGTAATTAAATATAAAAAGACCGCTATTGCAAAGTTTGCCTCTGTGTCCACAGAGTCATATAAAAAAAAAAGTGCACTGCAGATAGCAACTGAATTAATAACATTATGATACCATGGATTATCTCACTGGTTGCTATCACAAGATACATAGTAAAGAGGCTTACATATATTATCAGACTATTATGAATGCAGTTGATGCTGTGTCTTTACAACAAGTTTTATTTTATTTTATTTTATTTGCTTTTTGGGTCACACCCAGCAATGCTCAGGGGTTATTCCTGGCTCTGCACTCAGGAATTATTCCTGGAGGTGCTTGGAGGACCGGACCATATGGGATGCCAGGGATCAAACCCTACCTGTTGTACTATCGCTCCAGCCCCTACAACAATTTTTAGATAATATAATTGACTTCAAAATAATAATCGCAATCAATCACAACCATCCTGTTATTCGTCGATTGCCTCGAGCAGGCCCCAGTAACGTCTCCTTCGTCCTAGCCCTGAGATTTTTTTAAAAAGTGCCATATTCAAGGCTCTTTCAGAGTTAGGAGAACGAGACCCTTCATTGTTACTGGTATTTGGCATATTGGGTATGCCATGGGGAGTTTGCCAGACTCTGCCGTGTGGGCAGGTTACATTCGGTAGCCTGCCAGATTGTCCAAAGTAGGAATGAGATAATAAGATGTCATAATTCACGGCCGCGCGCTTCCGGGAGCTGGGTTTTATAGTCTCTGAGTCTTGGCCGTTGATGGGATTACACGGCACCAGGGGGCCAGTTGGTGGGTGTGAGCCCCGCCTACTGGAATTTGGAGGATCTAGGTGGGGGATGCTCAGCCTGGATCCGAGTAGGCTGAAGGTACACATGAAGGTACCTGCAGAGGAACAAAGGCATGCAGGTCCCGGGGCTGAGATCTCCAAGCCTACTCGGATCTGGGCTGAGCATCCTCCACCCAGATCCTCCAAATTCCAGTAGGCGGGGTTCACACCCACCAACTGGTCCCCTGGCGTTGTGTAATCCCATCAACGGCCAAGACTCAGAGACTATAAAACCCAGCTCCCGGAAGAGAACAGCGCAGAGTCTCCTGCCCCTGCACCTGGCTGTCCTCGTCAGGGCCCCTTGGAGGGGAGCGGGTTGAGTTTTCCTCCCGGCCTGACCAGGGCTCCAGCAGCCGAAGACTTCCAGAACCAGCCACCAGCATGCTGAGAC